ATATCGAAATGGTCCACATGCTGGATTAATTGGCCCACATATGTCTCCCTGAATTCTTTCCAAGAATTTTGGAGATTCAGTAGCAATTTTGTTCATAGATGGCCTTATTATTAATTTGCCAAGTGAACATGCAAAGCATGTTAATTTATCTGATCGGGGAATTTTGACATTTCTTATTGAATGTCCAACTGAATGTGCTATTATTCTTTGCATCATCCCAGTTGCTGGATGTCCCAAACGATCATGCCATAAAATAATCAAATGTTTGTCATCTAACTTCTGGTTAGATACCATATTGATTTCCACGGGTCGTATGTTTATACGATATAACCCCGAAGAGTATGCTGGCAATTTCTCATATATATGTTTCTTGCCATGTTTTTCTGCCGTGAGGCATATATACTTTTTTTGATCTGTTGTCATTGTTTCTAGATGATAGTCATTTTGGCGTACATCTTTAAAGCTTATGAGATTTCTTCGAGATTTACTCGAATATAAAGCATTATTGATTATTAATTTTGTTCCATTTGGAAGCATTATACAAGCCTTTCCAGATCCTTCAATTAATTTAGCTGACCCGGAAATGGTGTTTACATTTGCTTGAAACAACTTTAGTTGTGAAAAATATTTTCTATCTTTTAAGATAGTATGTGTTGTTCCACTATCCAAAAGGCATTGATATTCGGAACTAACTTCAGGTAGATCCATATCTTCATAAAATAAATTTGAGATTAGTTTAGAATAATATCATACAAACTTTTATTGATGATAGAGATTTAAAGTACATGACTAGAAATTTAAAATACAGGGAACTAAGAAAATACATTAAAACATAGCATATGTTACATTAGTAGATGAGAAACCTAAGTATTGTTGTTTTCTCCAAGAATGAAATCATTTCCAATTTCAGCATTATCTATGAAATAATCAGACACATCAAGGCAAGGACAAGGAGCATTTTCCTCATTAACATAATTTGCTTCTGCATTTTTCTCTTTGCCTTTTACAGAAGCCTGGTAAAGGTCTACCAAATGTTTGGCCGTTCGACAAGTACATCCCCAATGTCCTGTCATGCCACATCTGTAACATGTGTCTTTTCCTTTCGAAGGAGTTTGTTTGTGGCTTCCAGATGACTGTCCCTTCTGTTTTTCAAAATTTTTGAAATTACTGTTTCTTTGAAAATTATTTCTACCACGACCACGGCCGCGTCCGCGATAATTTCCACGGCCTCTTCCACGGCCATTGTAATTTCCACGTCCACCTCTTCTTGTAGCATTTGACTCGGGTGGATAGGAATTTGTTTCATTTGCCTCATGATGAGTGGCCAAAGACCCAGTTGGTCTCAGGTTATGATTTTTCAACAAAAGTTCACTATTTTGTTTCGCAACAAGCAATATACTCATTAATTCATTGAACTTTTTAAAACCTCTTTCACGATATTGTTCTTGCAACAGTATGTAACTTGCATGAAAGGTAGTGAGTGTTTTTTCAATCATCTGTTCATCTTTAACCGGATGATCACAGTATCTCAATATAGACACTATCTCATGTATGGTTGAATTATAATTAATTACAGATTTGAAATCCTGGAACCGTAAATTTGTCCAATCAAATAATGTCTTAGGCAGGAGCACCCTTTTGTGGTGTCCAAATCTTTCATTAAGGCAATCCCATAATTCTTTGGGATCTTCAACCATCATGTACTCAGTTTTAAGGCCTTCATGTAAATGATGCCTTAACAACACTAAGGCTTTTGCCTTATCTTGTTCAGTGATAGGTTTTTCAACCGTCATTGCAGAAGAGGTAGCATCAGTTGTTTGACCAGAGGGACTTTTATTTTCTTTAACAGTGTGCTCCAAACCTTGAGCTTTCAAATTCATCATTGCATCCACTTTTCATTCCAGAAATTTCTTTCCAGATAAATCTAAGATGCTGAACTGTCTTTTCATAAGGTCTCCCATTTTAGCTACAACAAATTTCGTGATAATTAGATTATAATAACAAATTATATGTACAACTCACATGTTTAGTTCTTCCATATTTATAATTAAGTTAATAAGACACGTGATAATTAAATTTAATAATAATAAACCATAAATAATATACTCTTTTCTCCCCCTTGGTTTATTATTGTGAGTAATTATATGATTAGACAAAAATTAATCATGTTAGTTGCAAAAAAAAACAGCAAAACGACAACAATGACAGTAGTAACAATAATTATAATGATAACGGTAATATTATACAATGATGATTAATAACAAAAAACAACATAATAAAACAAAAACAAGCTTTTAATATACTAAAACGACAAAATAAGTGAGTTTTACTTATACATAATGACAAAAATTAATATTGCTACTAATAGAACTACAAGTGCCGTAATTAGAAGGAAATATTGTTTTATCTCCCTTAAATCTTCTTCAAAAGTGAAGTTGTGGGTGTTTGGTTGCCGTCGTCAGGGAACATATCGGAGAAGAAGGGGGTGAAAAAAAAAATTTAGGTGATTTTTGGATAAAAAGTGGGAAGAGATAAAGGATTTGTGGTGAAATTGGGGGAAAAATCCGTCTTTTATAGAGGTAGGTTTATCCGTTACTGTTCTGTACAACTGTAAAAATATCATATAATAGTCTAACGTACTGGCATAAAATTATGGTCCATATATATATATTTATAATTGTAAAAGGTTATCACACTGGGAATGCAAGCCATAGTGGTCCGAGAGCCCTAATATCTATAAAAGATCATGGGTTCGAAAACGGAAAGAAACACAAAAAAGTATGTAAAAGTAAGAAAAATAATAAGTATAAAAAGGCTGCATCTTTTTGTTAATCTAGTTAATAATAATATGCATGCAAAGCTACTACTTAGCAATTATAATAACTAAGATAAAAATTTACGTAAAATGAGTATGTAATATCAACATGGATCAAACAAAGAAACATCAACATGAATAAACAAAAGATGATAGTAGTAAATTCACAAGTAAGAGAACTTTCACCGTTGTGTTTTTTGAGGTATATATAGTAAATGTTTGAGTTTCTGTTATAGAGGATCTCAAATATGGGCAATTATAGAGCATACTCCTCGAAACAGTTAGAAGTAGATAATATTATTTTGTTATAAATTTTTATAAGTAGGTATAAATATACCTGACTGAAAACTGGTGCTGATAACGTGTTAAAGTATTACCGATAGAAAGTTTTATAAAGGAGTAGGAGAAGATGGAGAAATTGATTATGTATATTGCTCCGGTAACATGGCTTATATAGCCAAGAGTTTTACATATAATGCCACACAAGTTCACCAGTCTTTGGACTTGTGTGAACATTGTGAAATCAAATCAAATAATTATAGGCATCCATATTTATCTTCTAACAATTTTTAGTTTGTCTTGTGACACTTTTAGTTAGTGGAATGGTGGTTGTTAATTTTAAAAAAAAAAAATTCCAGTGGAGTTGCTGGGTTCTAATAGCCGGTGGATATGGGGTGGTCAGGGAAGGAGGGTGGGGCTGGGTTGTGGGGCTGGGTTTTCTAAATTTTTTTTAATGATCTGTTAATAGCTAGCACGTGGCATATAACTTACAAAAATCGATCATCAATAGGTAATGGATCTTTAGATGAAGGTGGGGTATAAAGATTGGATTTTTGTGGAATTAAATGAAAGTTGAATTTTTTAGAGAAGAAAGTGCAAAGGTTGAATTTTTAATTTCCATTTTTCCTTTGAAATTTATGTCAAAAATTTAAACAGAAAAAAATTGTTAGAGATTAAAATATTATAAGAAATATATAAAATGATATACTCGTATAAAATTTAAAGTTTGATTTCAAGTGCAAAAATCAGCGAATAATAATTTATGATTTAAATTATTTAAAGATAAAAAATTATCTTTCGCTAATATTTAACTAATGAAATACCATATTTACAATATATTCATGTTTAAGAAATTCAACTGTCACCTTTGTTAATTGGACTCGGCATTTTGGCCGCCGAACGCGCGTCGACACGACGCGTATGGGATTCGGACACGAAATTCGTGTCCAATTCATCAACTTCTCCTCGGATTCAGCAGAATCCCTAATCCCCAAATTAAAAAAAATGAAGTAATAAAACTATAGGGCTTTTACTTGTGGGCTTCTGGCGAGCCAAACGCCATTCTGATTTTGCATCGAGGGTGATGGAGAAAAGAGACTCCATTGAAGTGCAGGGAGTTTTTTAGGTGAAGAAGAAGATACGAAGAGAGAGACAAGCAAAAGAAAAGAAAATGTTTTACAGTACTTTTTTTTTGTTTTGTTTCTCTCTCTTGCTTACATCTGTCTTTTAATTCACGTGACTCTTACTTCTTAACAGCCTATATTTTCTTTTTTATTTTCATAAAGGCTGTTGACTTTGTTGGAATTTCTTTTTTCTTTTTTCTATCCTGGCCCACATCAGACATCCTTTTTCTTTGCTTTTTTTTTCAAACACAATTCAAACTACTACGTATTTGTTGGCGGTATTTTTAACCAAGTGGACTTTAAAATTGGGCTTCCATATGACTTAGAAAATATTTGATATATATATCCCAAAATTTTGGACTTTGTCGAATTGGACACCTTGACGCGTGTCCGTGTCCGACACCCGTACTCGAGTCCTGGTAACATAGACTGTCACATAACTAACAACAACAAATAAAATAAGAAACAATAATGAATAAATTCGCATTATTGAAAAAAAAAATTATACTTTTCTAATAGGCAATATAATTGCAGCCTGTTCATATTTACTGAAATAAGCTGAGTTGAACTGAACTGAACTGATTGGAGCTGAGCTGAACTGAACTGATTGGAGCTGAGCTGAACTGAACTAAGCTGAAATGAATATTTTATGAGAGAGGGAAATTAAGAGTTAAACTGAACTGAACTGATTGGAGCTGAACTGAACTGATTGGAGCTGAACTAAACTGAAAATAAGTAAATATGAACAGGCCCTAAATTATTATATGTTTTTTGTCTAAAACTATTAAATGGTGAAATATATCAAATAATTTCCTTTCAGAAAAAAGAAATAAATCAAATAATTAAAATAAAATATTAGAGTCTATCTAACTAAGAAAAACATCTTTTCTTGAGATTTATATAGTAAAAATCCATAAAATACACGAGCTTTCATCTAGAACAAAAATAAGTGAAAGAATTGAATTACCATTTTAATGTGATGCCTCTATGTTGCTAATAAAGAACAGCATAATTGATGAATTTCAACAACAGATTACAAAACTGTCTCTGGGTCATTTTCAGAGTGAAAGAGCTTGAGATGACCAGACGAGTTTAGAAGTGCACTTATCCTACGGAGAGCAGCAATTAGTGTCTGACTGCTTTTGCAGAAAGCAAATCTGATGTACCTTCTTTGATAACCATCAGGTGGACGCTTTGTATGGAAAAATCCACATCCTGGAACTGCAACTACGCCTGCCTGTTTTATCAGTTCTTCAACAAAATCTATCTGCAAGAAAGTGACCCTGAAATTTAGTGAAGTTCAACAAACACACATTGCATTGACAATTATGACAAAAAACTTAGCTTTGGTTAGCTATGGACTAACTATAAACGACTAATTAAGCTTGTGTGCTGCTTATAATTCGTAGTTATGCACACAGGTAGTCATTTCATTTTAATCCAGGGTCCAAGGATAATAGCCTCTGCATATTACAAGGGTTAAGGCGATACATACATCTAATTTCCCCAAGGGTTGACAAGTTTATAGCCATCATAAGCTATGAATGGATATCAGGGGGGGCCCTCAGGGGGACTTCGGTTGTTCTATGGGGACTTTGGGGATTTATTGGCTGTATTTTTGGGTTTAATGGGATTGTATATTTGTGATATGCAGTTTCTGCAATTTGTAAATCTCTGTTATAACTTTGGAATGGCATTACGGTGACAACCAGGATGCTGATAATGACATATAAATCCAATACATAAAATGCATCAATAAACACTCATCACATAATAATTTGATATTTATATAGTTGATTACTTGATGAATAATGCCTCCTCCTTCATAATCCATATTGATTTATATTTTGCTATAAGACATAATCTTTTTCTTTGGAGGATGGCGAGTGGTGACAAATAAACTGCATATGCATTCCATTACTAAAATAATGTGAATAGAAAGTATTGGGAAGACACAACTTACGTCACAGTTACTGTAATCCTTGGGAAGCTCTGTGAACATGAAAAATGAACCCTGAGGCTTAAACTCAGTCTGAAAACCAATCCCACTGAGTAATTCTGCTATGAAGTCCCTTCTGGATTCAAAATCCTAGGAAACAGAAGTTGTAGTGGTAAATTTTTTTAGAGACCACAGCACTGCACTATAAGGAGGAGAGATAATTGAGGATGCCCCAGTTTCTCATGGTGAGAAACAAATTTTGTTTCTCACATGACATTTTCGTAAATAAACCAACAACTTTATTCAACTGTGGAGCCTATAATAATGAAAAAGTTGTTGATTTATTCACGAAAATGCCCTCATGAGAAACAAATTTCGTTTCTCACCATGAGAAATAGGGAATTTCCCAGAGATAATTAGCTGTTATAAATCTTACTGTTCTAAGTGACTCGTAATATTCTGGGGGGCTCTGCAAAGCTACCAAGGCAGCTTCTTGGAAAGGTGCAGGAGCAGAATCTGTTAGTCTTATATGTATGTTTCTTATAGCATCAGCTATACATGCAGGGGCAATGGCCCATCCGATCCTCCAACCTACAAGAGTAGAAGATGATCCAAAAAATTATTTACCAGGCAAAACAATTTACCAAGATTAGAAAATTTTAACAAAAGCAACTGGCCAATTTTATAACAGGAAAAAGAAACTCAATTTCATATTTCATAACTTTCAAATTCCCAAATTTAATTGCAGATAATTGTCCCCATAACTCCACAAGTAATAAATCTCATAACATGGATCCAACCCTGTATGCGAGAGTGCCACTAAAGAAGATAGGATCCATCCCTGTATAAGAAAGTGCCAAATATGAAAATGGTTGCATAGTGTGGAAAGGCAGTTGAGATCACCTGTCACACAATAAGTTTTAGACAAAGAAGAAGTGATGATGGTCCGCTCTTGCATTCCTGGAAGAGAAGCGAGGGATATGTGCCTTTCATTATCATAAGTTATGTATTCATACACCTGGAAAACATGATTATCTCAATATAAGATGTGGGTTTCACTGTCACCTAGTACTCTAGTAGATGTCATAAGTCTTATGGCAACTATTGATCATAAAAACAGCATTAGTATGCAAAAATAAAGACATCATGGGACACCATATAGTACACTGAGCCTTAAATGAAAAAAAACTTTGATGCCATTTGAAGTAAGAAAATTATCTGCCCGTACTTCATCTGTAACAGCTAGGCAGTCCCATTTTTGGCAAGCTTCAGCAATTATGTCCAGCTCGTCTACTCCAAACACTTTCCCTGTAGGATTATGAGGGCTGTCATTTTGTATCAGTAATTTACATCATATGTAGCAGTTTCAGTATACTACATAGTTGTGATTTGAAACATAGTCATCATACTCATCAAACCAACCAAGTGATGATACCAAGCTAACAAACTTTTTCTTCTTTTGACAAATCGCATTTAAAGCCTATAGCAAAGTTATTTAAAATTGCTCCTTTATTTTCTCCTCAATAGCAAAGAATTTAGGGTGCATGACTAAATAATATTGGAGAGTAAAGAACTGCAAAAAATTTCCAAACCTGTTCAATACTATAGCTTTTGTCTTGGAAGTACAAGCCTTCATGAGTTTTTCTGGGTCCAGAGTCCAATAAGGAGGGTCTAAGGGCACAAATACCTGGCCAAAAAATCAGAGTTCAGTCAAATGATATACGGAGCATGTTTTAGCCGTATTCTATTAAATCATTCGGGATTAGTGAGCTGAATTAAGCCTCAGGCAAACCATAAAAAAGGGCTTACTGGGACTCCTCCAGCCATACTAATGCAAGATTCATATGTCTCATATGACGGGTCAAGCACGATAACTTCATCACCTCGATCAATTACTGCACATTGCATTCGGAGAATACCATTGAAAACTTGTTAGAACTACTATCTTAAAATTTACTGAAACACAATGTAATGCAATTTCTGCCAGATAGTGTGCACGTCTTCCTTTTTAGCCATTGCATTACCCTGTGTTGCACTGTACCAAGCATAAGATGAACTTACAGGCAAACATTGCTGCAGCAAACGCCTCAGTTTGACCACAACAAATCACTATATCTGTTGCAGGGTCAATATCCATACCGTGCATGTCTTTCATATTCTTTGCTACATAATCACATATTTCCTGCACATGTCTACAAATCTATAGTCAGATTCAGACTCCATATACCAAATCAAATCTCAAGGATCACAATCCTATACTAGCTTAATTAACAAACTTGCTCATACAAGCTATACCTCAGCACTGCTTTATAGACAATTCTAATCAGCTCGGAAGCAAAAGAGACTTCTGTGTAAATAACACAATTTAAATCCTTATAACATCCAAACTAGTAACTAATCCTGGCCTCGTCCCAACTAGCAAAAACATATGCAAATAATCATTTTATTTACACATACTTCAACCATCTTTTGAGCACCCATAGTATAATTCCAGCTCAAAACTGCCTATTAGGCACATTCAATACTCCCCTTCTATGATAAAACAGAGACGGTCCTTATAAGATTGGTCCACATCAAATGAAATTAAAATTTCAACTCCATACCTGTATACAACATATTTACTTCTAGTGCTAAGAGCCTAAGACTGCTAACAAATGCAAACCATCAGCATGTACATTATAACCCCGGTGTAATTTTACACCCTCTCACATTCCCCTATGGCATGATCATAATCTATCCAATATGTTTATATGTCCCCTCGGAACACTTTTTTTTTTTAGTAATTTGCTTATTTGGTTGTATCATGCATTGGGTTGTTTGATAGAAATTGCCTAATTTTCCAATTTTTATAACAAAGTATCCCAAGAATATCCATCAAGAATAACCCTAGGAAACTAAAATAAATTAAGTTATGGGTCTATTATACATCGAATATAATTTTACACTCTATCACATTCTCAGGTTGCGTAATTATAGTTTACCCACATATCCATGGAAAATTCATTCTTTTTACCCACTTAGAGCAACTACAATGGTTGGCTAATTTATTTAATAGCTTAGCATGCCAAATCATCTTCTTAAGCTACAACAATTCAAGCTATGTGTTGCTCCAATGGTTAAGCTAATTGTAAATTAATTTATTTTTAAATTAATAATAATTTTAATCTAATAAATATTTGCCAAGCTAATTAGCTCTACAAAGCTAATTTGCTTGCCAAAGCTAATCAACAAGATGTGAAACAATGGTGTAGCTGCTAGCTTAAGCTTTTTAATATTTGCAAGCTAGTCCCTTTTCCCAACCATTGGAGTTTCTCTTACTACTTATTTGGACCTCGCCCATACAAGCAAACGACACAAAAAAATAATCTTAGTTGTATCGTGCAACCGGTTGTACCATAGAAATAATTAAATTTACTAGTTCTATAACAATAAGGCAATAACCAAGCATCCCAAGAATATTCATGAAGAATAAACCATAAATAGGAAACTAAATTAATTTAAATCATGGGTCAAACGATCAATAACATTTTGGGGAAGGTGGGTACAAATACAAATAAATACTCAAATATAAAAGAAGAAAAAAAGTAAACAAAGGAGAGAGAAAATAATGTAAAACCTGTATTGATTAAAGTCAGAATTAATGGCAGAAACAGCAGCATTTTTGATATGGGAAGGAGCAGGAAAATCAGGGAAACCTTCAGCAAGATTAATGGCATTGCAACGTTGAGCAAGATGAGAAAGTTGTTGAATTGGTGAAGGTGTTGATGATTTTGCAAATGATGATAGTTTTTCCTCCATTTTTTTTTTTTTTTTAACTTCTGGGGTTCAAAGAAATCAAATAAAAACCTTATCTTATAATCAATGGGTCGTGCATGAAAAAGGGCGGCTTTTGTTTATAGATTAAACTTTGTGGGTATTAATTATATCATCTGAATTACTGTTAACACGTCTTAATCAGAATAATCACCAGCTGCAGTTGTACCACTACTTGTACCCGTATTCAAATTGAGTGGAAGAGTGGTGAATAGGTCGTTTGAATTGGGAAAATTTGATTTGAGTTTCGGGTAATTCGTTTTTCTTTTTGTTCTTTGCTATGGATTGTGATTAGTTTTCGAGTCAAGTTTTATATAATTTAATTATTTGGATTAGATTAGGTCAACTTTCATTTGGGTCTAAATTGAATTTTGTAATTTCAATTATAATTTGAGTTTGAGTCAAGTGTTTTTGGTGCATGTTTGATTAGTTTGGTTGACAACTTAAGGAAAGTGAAAATTCATGAAAAATTGAAAATTGATATGCTTTGTATTAAGTAGTTGTTTTGTTCACATAAGTAAAAAATGAAAGTAAAATTTCATAGGAATTTACATTTCCTACAAAGCATCAAAAGCACATCTTGATCAATTAAAATTCATTGAGATTTCAAATTCCCTTGTTGTTAACTAAACAAGTTAAGCAATTCCTACTCATAAATTAACGGTTTACAATGATAATTTAACTCCAACGTTAAACAAATAAGCACTTAATCATTAGAAAAAACTAGTAAAATTACACTTTCTAACGTGTCAAGTTTCACTTTCTAACACTAACATATTATGTACAATGATAATGTGACAAATACAAATACAAATACAAAGTATAAGATAAAAAGCCAAGAGCAAGAATTAAAGATGTTCATTTGGGTCAAACTTGTTTCTCTACTAGGAGCCTTGAGCAGAATAAACATTGCTACTGATTGCAGAGATTACATTTCCTATAGATGTCAACCAACACACTATACACAAGAATCGTGTTGCTAAGATAGCAATAGATTACTCTATAATTTCCCACAAGATTAATAATTCAGAGCTTAACAAGAAATTCCAAGCCAGACAATTTAGGTGAAATAATCACTATAAGCAGTTTATTGACATATTCCTTCTAGTTACTAGCACTCAAGAACAATAAACATATCCAAAGTAAATCAATGCAGAAAGACGATTTCATTATGAACCATAAGCATATAAAAGAGAACCGAGACAGACAGACTTCGCATGTTCAACAAAAGTCTCAATATTAATTATTCATTCTATCAGCGAAACTTGAATCCTTCCTACCGCTAAGTCCTACAAATTTGGCTTTAAATCTCAATATAGGACATGTTTTGATCAAATTCGAGCCATCATATGCCTCCTTGAGGAAAACAGTACTTCGTACACCCTTATTGGTGATATAGAAGATACCATGATGCTTAATTAAACAAAGTATTAGCCTAGCAGGTAAGAGCAACTCGGACTGAAAGGCACTCATTTGAAAAGATGTCATCCTCTTCTCAATGGTCAAGCTTAGAAGCTCATGGAGCACTGCCACAATCCTTTTCCGAGCCTTAGGATCCGCCTGATCAAACCTTCTTGCATTCAAGTATGGAGAAGGAAATTCTGTTTTCTGCCATCTTTCGAGTTCTTCAAGGAAACCTGTATTTGGCCGAAACCCAGCAGGATAGCATATACGAAATGCACAAGGACCAGGATAATTGCCATCCTTTGAAATCCTAACTTTCTTTCCTCTCCCTCCGTCCTTTAATTCTCCTTCTGGAACCAAATTCTCCTCTCGAGCAGTTACTCCTAGTGAAGAATCCCAATTTTCCAAGTGCAAGTAAGCCTTTCCATTAATATCTTTCACTGAAAAGAACTCAGGATACTTAGGAATCAATGATTTCTTGTAATCCATTGGCAAACCCAATTCATTTTCAATCAGCTCAATCTTTTCCATTGGCACCTTACAATCAATCGTCAACATTAACAACTTTCTCAAGTTCTTAACCAGAATAGGCTCCATAAGCATTCGCGCTTCATCTTCTTCTGCTGCAACTCGTTGTGCTTTGTCAGTAAGCCGAACTGCAACAGGAGCACGGTCACCACCACTAACATGAAAGATTGTAGGGTACTTTTCAATGGCAGCCATACAATTCCATTTCTGCACAAAACCCACTTCCTTTTCAAGGTCCCTAAGAAAGATACATTTGGTTTTCTGGGATTGAATGGTGTCTTTAAGCTGCAGGATTACAGCAGGCTTCTTCTGAAGGTCCATGACTTTGTCGAGTTCATGAACCCTGTAATAGATTTTCTTCTTGGGTTTGCTTCCTCCACTAGTTTTATGCCTGGTTTGTACCAACATATGACTCAAATTTTGACATGGGTTTGAATTCAATGCAGCAAAATTGTGCACAAAAACCCCATTTAAGCGAATCATATTTGAAAATGTTCTTTGAGGCATTACGTCGAACAGTTGGTGTGCAAAGTGCATTCAAAACCACTCCAACTTACCCTGACGATTTGCTTAAATAGGTAAATTGACCAAAGCAATTCTATGACTAGTTTGTAATATTGATCCCCATTATAAACAAATTTGATCAAGTTTTTCTCTTCTTTGAAAATCTGGGGAAAACAAAAATGGTAGAAGAAGGCAATGGTGGCGCTGTTTTCTTGCTAGCCATGAATTCGCTGATGAAATTAGCAGTGAATTCACGATCGCTGAGAAAGGTGGGTGGGAGATAGTGGTGATATGTAGCTGCTGGTGGTTGCAGTGAACCAACAGAGTTGCTGGTGAGAGAGGGCTAGAATTGTAGCAGCCCAGTCTATTCAAAAGGAGAAAAACCGGCGGGTGAAAATCGATTTTAGGATAACTTGAAATTGGGAGGAAAACTTTAATAGTCTAACCACTTGAGGTATCTTCACTCTCAAAATCTACACGTTTATAAGACCACTCTCATTCATGGGTAAATAAAAAAATGACATTATCTCTTTACCCACTTTCTCACTCCTCTTTTCCACTTTTTTTTCATGGGCATTTTTTTTCTAAAACTTCTCACACATTCATGGACTAAGAAAAAAACCCACACCACTCTCTCTCCTAAAATATTACTATCATTACATTATTTTTTATTTTTTTTTGGGGATTTGGTATCATGGCCCACACTACTGTGGCAATGAATTTTTGCCATTGCCATGGGCATTTGAGGATTTCCTCATGGACATTTTTTCTAATGCTCATGAGTGGGAAGCCAAAATTTCATTTTTTTCATAAAAAGGTCATAAACAAAATCGGATGAATTAAGGATATAATCGTCTATATTTATATTTAATAATGGGTAACTTTATAATATCAAGACAAAAATTAAGTTTAACTAGGTTAGATCCCGTGCCATGCACGATTTTTCAACCTTTGTCAAGGAGTTCAATTTAAAATCTTTTTTTTTTTAATCTCAAATCAAGCTACTTAATTATTTTTTTATTTTTTATTTTTTTTTATCTTTTTTGAATACATATTATATTGTTTTCTTCTATTTTGAACCTTGATGATTTTTTTATTTTTTTCAAATATGATAATTTTTCATTACCAACAATATTAAGTTGATCCCTTCAAAAAAAAATATTAAGTTGAAAAATATATATTAATGATTTTTTTTAACTATATATAAATAATCATTATACATTAAAAAGTAATCACTAATTCTTATCAAAAAAAAAAAAAAAAGGTAATCACTAATATAGGAATTTATTTATACAAAGATATGGTTAGATATTTAAGCTTATAAATATATTATTATACAATTTTTTTACCTAAATTTTGGAAGTAAATATTTTGCGTATATTTTTTGTCAATTTTTAAAAACTTTTATTTTTTTAAAATAAAATATACTAAGGACACACCAGAAGATGACACGTGTCATTACTGGTGTGTCTTTTAGTATATTGTTAAATGGGTAACTTTATAATATCAAGACAAAAATTAAGTTTAATGTATCAACTTAAAGGTTTCAATGGAGGTTGGGTGATGGACGGGCTTTAAACGAGAAACCACGCAAAATTCGAGCTCACACAGGAACGGAATCAACGGGGGTTGGGGTAGGCCATGGCAAATGAGAAATTTAAGGTCTACCGCAGGTCTTGAATTCGAAGGTTGCTGCTGCATTATTTTATCCTCTAATTTCATTTTATTATTTTTTTTTACAAGAATCAACAACACCTAATATCTAATGGGCTTGCTTTATTTTGGGGATCTAATTACTTCCTCCATTTTTATTTTATTGCACCATTAGGACTTTTACACAATTCACTTTATCCTCTTTGACCATCATTTGTGATTTATCCATTAGGAAAAATATAGTCATGTGAGATCTAGTTAGATTCGTCTCAAAATCTTCTTTTCAAATATCAAATTTTTATAATTTTTACAAAAGTATGATTGAAGATATTTATAGCTAAAGTAATGTATTGGCAAATGTAAAATCCCTCATGGTGCAATAAAAAGAAAAACGGAGGAAGTATTTTTTTTTTCTTGGAAAAATCCCATTAGAATGTACTACTGTATTACTTTAGCTAGAAAAAAAAAATTGTCTAAGTTTTAGCTAATTCTCAAAAATAGGTGCATATCCAACGAGAAATGGAAAAATATGTTGTGGTACAAAAAAAAAATCATATTTAATCTTGGCCCCCTAACATAAGATTTCTGGTTCCGCCACTGAGCTCACGAACAATATCAATGGAGGAGGATGAAAGTCGTACCATTTGGGTTTTACCATGCCCTTTATTTCTCTATTTTCTTAGGGTTTCATTTAACTCGGCGATAAAGCGCTAGAACACATGGCGGTGGGTCATAGGGAGGACGCTTTCATGGAGGAGGAAGCTTCAATGGTTCCACTTCCATGGAGGATGAAGCTTCAATGGAAATGAAAGCTTCAAACAACGTCAAAAACTAGTACTCTAAAGTTACAGAGTTAGCTAACGACTCAACATATAAATATTTTTATTTATTTACAAAGGTGTCATTAGATAAATAACTTAAGTTTATCTACAAGATCAACCAAGGGCCCGGGGCTTTGTTATTCAAAAGTGTTTTTCTAAGGTTGTCACAATTAGAGGAAACGGGATTTAATCGATTGAATTGGATCATATGATAGGATCTTACAATCTCATTTTTTTTTAAATAAATTAGAAACTAATAAAGCTTGGTTACACTACTTAAATAGGCTCTTATAATTTCACTTACAAGCAAAAATAAGGTTTCAAACAAGGCCATAGTGGATAAAATAATTTCAACTTGTCCTTCTAGTATGTGACTCATGTTAAGAGTAACTCGAAATTAACATTAGGTATTTGTCAAAATTGTATAACTAGACATTGGTCAACCTTCACTTGAGTGAAGAGACATATGTCAAGGTTGTTGATATTCTTTAAGGGACAATGTATGTAGGTGCTTTAAATGAATGTAGTTGTGATCAATTCGGCTCACTAGTTATTTTACTCTATGAATTAATTTTTTTTTTAATACAATAATTGCGGTAGCTGGCGACACAATACTCTAACCACTTGTCATATGCAACAGTTATATATGACTCGTTGACTGTACTAAAAATCTAAAATAAGTTAAATTGATTTGCTTTGTGTAGCTTATGTTAGCTCTTTTACATTATATGGGGTTTTTGAACCTGTGACCTATCGTACACAAACCTTCAGTCTTAACCACTAGACCAAAACCTCATTAGTATAACCGTATTATCAATAATTTGATAGATGTACATGACATTACTCGTACTTAATTTTAAAATTACAAACATATGTGTTTTTATAACGTGTCTAACTAAAATAAAACGGAATAAGTAACAAATTAGGCTTGCTTTCGCATCTCTAGGGTTTAAGAACGAGAGTTCCCAATTAAGGGTTTATCTGTCAACAATCCCCAATACTCCTTCAAACGTCACAATTCCAAACCTTCTCTTGAATCCAAATTTAGGGTTTACTTGCTGCAAAAAAATCAACATAATTGCAAGCAGAAATGAAGGTCAAAGTGATTTCGCGTTCTACAGATGAATTCACTCGTGAACGAAGTCAAGATTTACAGGTTTAATTCTCACTATTCAATAAATTTTAGCTCAATATTTCAATTTTTGCAATTAATTTTTATGCTAAAAGCTGTGTTTTTTGTATATTGATTGAAAATTGAAATCAGAGAGTATTTCGGAACTATGATCCTAGTCTTAGACCTCAGGAGAAGGCAACGGAGTATGTTCGAGCTCTTAATGCAGCTAAATTAGAAAAGGTGCTATTGTATTTATTCTATTTGTATTGAATTTTTATATTGATTTGTGAATTATGAGTTTTTTGTTTGTTTGTTTGAATTGGTGATGAATGTTGTGGGGATTTTGATAGATTTTTGCAAAGCCCTTTGTTGGGGCAATGGATGGGCATATAGATGCTGTTTCATGTATGGCTAAGAATCCAACTTATTTGAAATCGATATTTTCGGGTTCCATGGATGGAGGTACCTTGTTCCCTCCCCGAGTTTGATTTTGTAATGCTTTTGTTTTATCGTCTGTGGTTTGATATTGTCGATTGCATTTACTTGCAAAGTTTGAAATTATGTGTTTCTTCTCTATTTTGGACAGATATTCGTCTTTGGGATATTGCTTCCAGGTAAATTGTGCAACTTTGAATCAGCTTACTGAGGAAAGTCTGTTAATTTCGGCTTGTTCTCCGGAACTTCTCTTGTTACTTGGGACTTACCTTATTTGATTAGCTTTTTATTCTTTAAATAAGTTACAGAAAAGTGTCGCTCATTAGGTTGATTGTGTATGTGTGTGTGTATTCTCCTCATATAATTTTAAGTTAGTAATCGAGTTTCACCAATGGAATATGCTATTATGCTGCGACTTAGGTCTGCTTTGATGAACTTGTCTACCTGTGTTACATGGATTCTTCATTTCACCTCAAGTACCCATAATAAACCCTCGACTCGGACATGGGTGCAACACTTGGACACTTCACTTTTGGTTCAAAACCATTGATTCCCCCCCCCCACACACAAAATAGCCGATTCGAACGCTTGGACACATACCCATGTTGGACATGGGTACCCGAGTCCATGTGACATAGTTGTTTCCTGCTGTACTGGGTTTCACCCTTAAAGATGAATTGTTGCTAGAGTACAGTGTTGCTAAGTCCTTATTATTTGATGTCACTTTTTCTTGCTTGTCTATAATGAGTAAATTTGATACTTGAGACCTGAAAGTAGACTATCTTTTGAATTGATGTGCTACCAAGCAGAATGGTTTGAATCATAATTTTGACAAACTACGATGTTATCTATTTTAAATGTCTTTGGTAAATATTTGTTGCTGATAAGATTGAGAATATGATCTTTATGTTGGTATAGTTTTTTTAGATACCCAACGCTCTTAATGGGAAGATCCAATCTTTATGTTTATTGAGGTGTTTTATATACCATGTAGCCTAGTGGACCTATTTAACTTAGGTCATAGGACCAATTGTAGAAGACTACCAAAAGTAAGGACTTCTAATAGACTCCTAGTTAATCTATGGTTGAGACAGTTTAAAGATGAACAACAATAGATGGGATTATTGTCAATTTTTCCTCATTATAATCATATTTTCTATTTGTTTTACTGGATTGACCCACTCTAGAAAACTATTATTAAGGCACTCCCTCCATGTTAAAAATATAGTCATGTGAGATATTGTTAGATTTGTATCAATATGTAGTTTTTGTTAATATATAGTTAACTTAAAGATATTGATGGTCAATAGACCGTGCAAAGTCAAAGTGGGACTATCAAATTGAATCAAAGGGAGTAACTAATTTGCTTTCATTATCATGGGTAGGTCATACAGAAGGTTCCGTGTTTCCTTATCCTCTTTATCTTGAAAAGGCCTTTGAGTTTATAAACATAATTTCTGATTTGAAAATTCAAAGTCTTATTATCTTCAACAAGTCGAGCCATTCTTTCATTGATGATTTTTCAAAGTGTCATTGAGCTCTACACTAGCGATTATTAATCTAGCAAAGAAGTTAGGGTAACAACACAGTAGTGGCAAAACCCTGAGTCCCTGATAAATAACAATGAATTTGGGTCCAAACTATAGCCTGTAGCTATTTTAATATATCTCCAAGTGCAACAAAACTTTTGGATCTCAAATTTGATCAATTTATGAAGCGAAGTGAAAACACTAAAAAACTGTTAAGTAGAATAATTGTAACAACCAAAAACTTTAAACTGTACCTAATTAAGTAGAAAGAAAATAATTCTAATTATAGCCAAGAAATTTTAGAAACCTCAGGTATATCGATTCCAAGATTAAAAGATGATTGAGGAAAAACCTTAACTAAAACTTGGATTTGTCCGGAAAAAAGTCTTCACCTTCTCTGCCTTTTTTGGACCTAGTTGTGACAAAATTTGATCAATTCCTCATCTGCAGTGTTATGGTTTACTTGTTCTCTTTCTTTGCCAGACTTTTCACCTCCTCCCCTTACCTACTCTTTAAAGGAAGAGGTCAACTTTTACTTTACCCAGTACCCAAGTACCCAATGCAAACTGTTCATTAAATCCCTTTTGAGAATTATATATAGCATTCCACATATGCATTTTTGTACTCTGTCTTGAGTCAGATACTGTTATAGGTATCATTGGAGATACGTCTAACTAATTTGAATTTAGCAAATTAAAAACTAAAGTGGATAAGTGGATCAATTATGTGGTTTATGGTGAAAATGTGAAAAATTTCTCTCAAAGTCTTAGTTTGAAGATTTTCTGAAGTCTCAGTTCAAGATACAAGTAACGCCTCAGTTTTGTGTTTTGATTTAGCTCATTGTGAATTTCAAGCTATAGGTCTTAATTTCTACAAACTCAATTCAATTTCATCTACAACAAAATTGGCCTTTATACAGGATTAGCAAAACATTTAAACTTTCTAATTACCTTAGGTCCACTCTTAACAAACTTCCCAAACAAATCATAAACTAATCCTAACAATCTAAGGCTTTGTTATAGTGTTACATATATCCTAAAAGGTCAGCGAGTTAAAAATCTCTTTAAGTTTTTGTCTAAATTTCCTAACTATTTTTTGGGTGATACGTTTTAAATTTTATTTTCTGGTATTTTGTTTGATATGTTCTCGACAATAATGAGTAATAGAAACAAATTGAATTAAACAAAGCTTAAGTCTCTAGAGTAGGGTAATAGGCTACTAGCTAACCATGGGGCTAACCTAAAGATAAACCATTGGACTTTAATTAGCCCACTAAGCCTAATTAACATCTAATGCAAGTCTCTTAACCAAATTGTAACAATGCCTACTAGTCGAGTTTAGCCCAAATGCATAAACTTTAAACTGAGAGTGATAGCTCAAGTGGTTAGAGCCAAAGCCCACCTCCCGCTTCCGTTGGGACCGATTCTCATCACCTGCTCTTGTGACTCTAAAAAAAAACCTAACAAGCTTAAACCGTTTAAAACCCTTAAATTTTAAACTAATTAGTAAAAATTAGAAGACATTGAAACACAATTTTATATGTAAAACTTCATTCTGAAATAGCAAATAAAATCATGTAGGTATCCAGTACCCAAAGAAAACATTAGTGGAGTAAATGGAAAGCTTTGATAGTATCAGTCATATGTGTAGTGCACAAAGTAAAGTTTTCTTATAAATAAGAAAATTACTTATCACCCAGCCACACTCCCTTTTGGTGGTCAATATATGTTCGGTCTGATTTCTGATCTTTATTTTACTAAAATATGTATTGAGTTGTAATGAGTGAATATGATGGAGTATTAGAGCTTTTGCCCGAAGTACCTATGTAAGTTCTAAATTTTTAACCAATGGAAAGGTTAAGAAAACATGGGTTATTTGCCATGGTCAAATTTGGTTAAGAAAGACCAAACATGGGTTATTTGGCTTATTATTCTGCGACAGAGGGCTTAAGAAAGCAAGTTATCAGGATTGATTACTAAGTTTATAGCATCTAAACATCTATCGGAGATTGACCCAAGTAGTGAATATTCTCCCCTATTGAATGGTTGGTGATTTTGTGATAACCTGCCTCTTAACATAACTATATTCAACTATATCTGCTATTTTTTGCATCTGTAGCTGTCATTATATTTCGTACATTTGAGCACAATGATGCATCAAAGAGGAAGATTTACTTTTTAAGGGATCGACCTCTGCTGTTTAAAGATTGCAATTGTACTACCATGTTGTTGTCTTGTACAGTAATTAGAGTTTTATATTGAACATATTTAGGTTCCACTGAATTCTGCTTCCAAATTTGGGATAGTATGACTGTTCCTTGTCTGTTCATGAATAATATCTGTTTGTTGCTTGTATGCGTTCTTCTTTTCTAGTTTGAATATTTGATGCTTAATAGTTAATATCTTTGAAAATTTAGGCGAACTGTTTGTCGTTTTCTTGGTCATCAAGGTGCAGTAAAAGGTTTGGCAACATCGACAGATGGACGAATTCTTGTGTCATGTGGACTTGATTGCACGTAAGTCGTGACATTCATTAGCAGCCATCATCTTTTATACGGAGTATGTTATTAGAATCAGATCAGTAATTTGGGCATCTAATCCCTGTTGTTATTTTAGTGTGAGGCTGTGGAATGTTCCAGATCCGTTTATCACAGACACTAATGAATCTTCTGATATCACTCCAACGGTTTGTCTTCCTTAATTAAGGCCATTTCTATTGGTATTGAATGGGTTCTATCTTTATTGATGGCTCGATTATAATACATCAAAAAATTTGCAGCCTTTTGCCGTTTACACTGGGCAATACGCATACAAGTAAGTCTCCCCGATCGCATTAAGAAAGTTAATTTTACCTTCTCAAGGTAGTATAATCTTTTATCCTCTTTACCAATTTAATAATGATTTGTGCTTGATATCCTATAGAGCTATTGATCACCAGTGGGGCAGGGATTGTTTTGCTACAGCAGGTGCACGACTGGATGTATGGGATCAGAACAGGTTTTACTTCAAACCTGTTTTTCATATCCCAACCTCTCCATACCAATGGATTAAATAACTTTGTGTTTTGTTACACTAGGTCACAGCCAATAAATAGCTTTGAATGGGGAGTTGACACTATTGTATCTGTTCGTTTCAACCCTGGAGAGCCAAATATCCTGGCTACATCAGGCAGGTAAGGAAAAAAAATTATAGTTTGATAATAATCTATCATTTGTGCACTTATGCATAAAGTGATATGCAAACTATTGTTTCATTCATGCATACTATATATATGATGTGCCTTTTATAATATAAGGATGTATATGCATTTTCATTTACTCTGCTTCATGACTTTTAAAATAATCAAAATCTTTTAAAATGCAATCAAGCTTTAGGCACAGAGCAAAATATTCTTTTGCCTTTTATATTAGAAGAATTCCAAAAGCATAGGTTGTATTGTAGCTCTCACATGGACTGGCATTGGCATATTTTCATATAGTTCTGATAAGTTGTTCTATTCTTTTTCTCTTCTTAATTAGTTTCTTAGATAAAATTGACCCTGGAGGTCAATGAAGCTGTAATATTCTACATATATATTTTTTAACTTTATTCTCATCTTAGTAAATAGCTTACGGCCAATTTTATCTGATTAAGCAGATACAAGTATATGACTGATGAACTTAGGCTGATAAAATGATTCTACTCTCCCTTGATCAAAAGCCTTTTCTGGAGCAAAATTGTGAAATACACCATGTTTTTTAATTTTCAATAGTTGACTGTGGAGTGTAGACTAGCATCCCTGCAATTGCATTTGTTTCATAAAGATGTTTTAGTTTGCAGAAATGTTTACTTAAAAATCAGGAGAGATAAGTCTGTTGAGTGACCTATGGTTGTTTTATCGTCTGAAGCACCCTTTCTTTTTTTTTGAAGAATCTCAAGCACCCTTTCTTACTTATATGCTTTTCTTTGTTCTAGCCTATTGTTGGTTACATGGTTTAGCTATAATCTGGAAACAATTACAAGCTTCTATAGATTGAGTATGATTTTTTTTTTTTTTTTTTTTTTTTTTTTTTTTTTTTTTTTTTTTAAAAAAAAAATGGGATTTCCAATTTAATGCAGACTTTGGAGCTGTAAAAGTTCTGGCTAAGCTTTCTAGCAATGATTGTCAGTGATGATTCCAGTTTAGTCGATTAATATATTTTTTTACTTTTTTTTTCCACAGCGATCGCAGCATTGCAATCTATGATCTTCGTTTGTCTACCCCAGTGAGGAAGATTATCATGCAGGTACTGCTAATGCACATTTATGTAGCTAATAGCAATCTTGAATGGGGCTAACCAGGTGTATTCTACCAATCTATTCTAAAAAATGTAAGAACAGTGGTAGTTACTTTTATTAGGCCAGAATGCTATGTTCGAATCACGCGATGATGATGGTCTTGGGAGTGTTGTCATGTACTATGCAGTCCTATCTCTAATTTCTTTAACAGTAAAAGAGACTGGGGGGAAGAATCTACAGGACTTTATTTGGCTATTCATGGTGTCTTCTGCTGACCTCCTTGGCTCCTTGTTAAGTGTTTATCTTTTGCTATCAGAATTTTATTAGTGCTGAGACAGCTGACATGTTCATGAAAAGGTGTTTAGATTGATTCCAGAATGTAGATTGAGTACAAGTCATATGATTAAAATTTTCCATAGTCCAAATCTGATGTAGCCACAAACAGCAGGGTGTTACCCCTCATTGAGGGCGCCGCACCCCAGTTTCTCTTCTTGAGAAACAAGGAGTGTTTCTCTAATGGCAGTTTTGAAATTTTTGTGCTTTGGGAATTGTAAACTAATATTATTTCTTGCTGATTGTAAAAACCACTCAACTTGCTTATGTGGACCCTAGTATACGGTGTTAACTTCTTAAAAAACTGCCGTCAGATCTCATTCCTCAATATCCATCCAAGCACTGTAATTTGAAGGGACGATCCAGTAGCAAAGTCGGAGAATTCCGTCGGAAAACTTGAACGAAAGTGAAGTTTACTTCGTATCACTGTATGTAGTTGTCTCCAGATCTCGTAGCCCCCTACCTTCTTCAACCTCCTTAGCCTTTCTGGCGACTTCGCCGCCAAATCAAACGAAAAATCCAAAGGAATAATGGAGAAATTAGGGCTTGGTTAACCCTTAAGGGTAGGGTCTGACTTCCACCTCCATTGAAGAAGTGCGTGTTTTATTCTATTGATGGAGGTGAGAGAATGGATGGAGAAATTCGCCGCATACAAATACACCGCTACCCGTACATCGCCGGACGTGTTATGAATTGCCTTCAAAACCTCGCTATGTATACAGAACATCGAATTGGCTTTTGAGGAATTCACCGGAGAAAACTCACGCGGTGGGTAAACTGGGCACTGACAGAGGTAAGTTGTAAGGAGGAAACTTGGTTAACAGTAGCTTTAACTCCGTCAAAAGGTAGGCTTTAAGCTTAGCAACATCCAAATTGGCAGATTCTAGAAAAAGTCACTCTTACCCTTAGTTGTACATGGGATAATTCCAAATTTAACCTCATGAGATACAAACTTTGTTTCTCAAGAAGAGAAACTGGGAATTACCCATTTTTGCCTGCCAAAGTTTATTCCTTCTTTTCATGTTTTTTTTTTTTTTATTTTTATTTTTTTTTTATTTTTTATTTTTTTTTATACAATAGAAATCCGTTGCATAATTTATGCTATGTTTGATGAACTAAAGAAGGCAATAGAACTTTAAGTTTCCAAGTTGAATATCTCATGTTTCTTACGGTGTATTTTGCAAACTGAATTAAAATAATTTGTCTTATGGAAAGCTAGGGAGCAAGGGCCCAAATTTTGATTTCCCTTACCCTTTATATCAATACCTTTGGAGTTTACTGACTCTACTCCCATGGAATTTGTACTCACAACTTGTACCCCTTTCTTTCCTGGTCACAAACTCTTTCTACCAGTCAACATAGTTACAAATTAGCTCATTTCCTCTGCAAATTCCCTAATGAATAATTTGAAGTAAGCCCTATGCTACATCAAATCTCATGGAGTAACATTCCAATACCCAGCACTATAGTAATTGTTCTTGCTTTAAAGAACAGTCTGCCAAAAACCACTATTTATATGAAGTTGCTGAATCTGCCTTTTAATTTAAAAACTTCATTTAATCTCCAACATATCATTATCATTTAAATTGATACTAACAGGTCCTTATGTGCAAACTGCAACAGTAAAAGGTGGCTCCAGGCAGTTTCCTTATTTTCTATGTTGTAAAGCAACCCATGATTTATTGAGGTCTTTGAGGGCCTATTCTTAATTTTTCTTAAGCTTGTTTCAACATTTATGTAAATTTTACTCAGTTGATTGTATACATAATTCCATTTATGACCCTTCAATGAATATGTTGTTAATGGCAAGCATGTTTGGAGTATGTGCTGTTCTTGTCTTGACAAGGTGCTTTTTGCTTGCTCTTGCAGACGAAATCTAACTCAATTGCTTGGAATCCAATGGAACCATTGAACTTCACTGCTGTAAGCATCACTATATACATTTTTTTCAATGCAAAATGTTTCTCACTTCATGATACTCTTTCTGTCAGTGTTTGTTGATTTTGTCTCACACTTTGAGCAGTTGATATTGATTTGTGTATTGTAATTCTCCATTCATGATACTCTGTACATCTTAGAATAAAGGTCTCTTTAAGCTAAGCCCGCAAATTCAGAAGTTTTTTACTGTATTAGAATTGGCAATTTATTATTTTTTGTGGTAAAATTAAAAGCATCAGTGCATTGACATTTTAGTGACCACTTACTTTTGAACAAAAGAAGCAAGTTAAGCTGACAGATAATTTGGAATGGAGTAGTTGGGAGCTGGGACCTCCAAAAGTTGATCGTTGAAAGTGGTTTGATGTGATTTGTTGTGGCAGTTGTCTTTCACTGTTTTAACCATCCTAAGAACAGGCCGTTCAGTTTAGCTGTACAACTTCGTAGTTACTCATGCATGTAATGATGCAGGCAAATGAGGATACCAACTGCTATAGCTATGATCTTAGAAAGCTGGATGGTGCTACGTGTGTTCATCAAGATCATGTCTCTGCAGTGTATGGGTTTACTTGGCACTCTTAAGATTTTACTATAGTCTAGTAAGGATAACTGTGATGATAATGTTTGTTCGCTATCAACTATATATGTGCAGGATGGACATTGATTACTCTCCCACAGGTCGAGAATTTGTCACTGGGTCTTATGATAGAACAGTATGTTATTTGGTCCCTCTTTCTTTCTCTCTTCCCCCATTTGGCTCTTTTTTTTTTCTATTTTTTTTTTAAAAAATTATCACTAGTATCTATTTAGTAAATATTCTGTTTCCAGGTAAGAATTTTCTCCTATAATGGTGGCCATAGTCGGGAAATATATCATACCAAGAGGATGCAAAGGTTTGTTTATTATTCTGTAGCTTTGCTAGTTTACTATATTTTGTACTCCATAATCACTAAACTGAAGCTCTCATCTTTGTATTGAAAGATAATATGGGAACGCTAGTTGCATCATGAATTTTAATCAGCTTTGTCTTTATGCAGGGTATTCTGTGTCAAGTTCAGTGGGGATGCTTCATATGTTATTTCTGGAAGTGATGACACTAACTTGCGGCTGTGGAAAGCTAGAGCATCTGAACAACTTGGAGTTGTAAGTACTGCTAGATCTCGTGTTGTGTTGTCATCTGAAGTAATTTTGTGCTTTACCTGTTTTTATTAAATATTTGCTTTAGGGATTTAGTAATTATGGTGTCTTGAGTAATCAATGTAATACCTAGCTTCTCTAGGTATAGCTGATTTAGAGATGTGTAAATGCCGATTGATTTTGAATTGAATATGTTGATATAGGTTCTTGTTCTTTCATGTTGAAAACAAAATCTTTTTTTTTTTTTTTCCGCAGCTACTTCCTAGGGAGAGAAAGAAGCACGACTATGATGAGGCTGTAAAGAACCGCTATAAGCACCTCGATGAAGTGAAGCGTATTGTAAGGTTAGTTTGCCCCCCCCCCCCCCTTCCTCCTCCTCCTCCTCCTCTTCTCAAGGAAAACATTGATGCATAAGGGATGGAAGTAACATGGAAAATTGGCCACACTATGGAGTATGGACTGACAAAAAATATAGGCCGCTCTATGGTTGTGGAATAGTTAACTGTCATCAGGCTTTAAGAAATTGAACTTACTAACAGTTCTCGATACATCAAGGCCTAAGCACACAATACTTCTAGTGAGATTGCAACATGGCAAAAACTATTGGACTTCTGCTTTTTCTTGTGGTCTGTAAGAAAGATGCATATATAAATGACATCCAAATGCTTCTTGTTTGCTCTGCAGGCACAGACACTTGCCTCTATCAATTTTCAAAGCCCAGAATTTAAGACGTACAACAATTGCAGCTCAGCGTAAGAAAGATGATAGAAGAAGAGCTCACAGCGGCCCATCCAGCGTGCAAAAGAAGCCTCTGCGAACAAGCAAAATTGTCAAAGAAATTGAATGAGTTGCATCTGCTTCAAATTTATAAGCTAGACCCAATCCCAGCATCTACAAGCTTGCTTGCAACTAAAATGTATGCACAGAGAAGACTATGATTATCAATTCAGCAAAGTGGGATATCTCTATATCAGAACATAGGGACAGAATTTATTATATTTTCCTTAGATAGGAGAAATTTTGGAACAAGTGTAGAGTGACATCGTTTAATCCCAATCTGTAGATTAGTCAATGCACCTAAACACAATCTTGATACCTTGTATGTTAGTATTAAATATTTAATTAATTTTAATTTGGTTGTTATGCTCTCGGAATCACAATAGCAGGCCATTTGTTGTATTGTCGTTATTGTTGAAGGTATGGCCACGAGTATGATCTTTTGATGAATTTCGCAGCAAGGAAAATCATCAACGACTGGAACCCTTCGAAGTTAGTTATCGGAGATATAGCTATGACTCTATGAGTATGATCTTTCTAGAGAAGTTACATTATTCTCCTTTAGTGCCGCTTCTAAATGATCTCTCTTAGTCCTGGCCTTTAATGCAACTTCATATTTAGTATTCATTCGTTTATTCATTGTGCAACAACATTGACATACTTATCCAAACGCATTCCAGGATTCGAAAACTATAAGCCGGTGCTTTTTAAAGCCACCACTCCCTTGTTTTGTAGGAACAAATTTTGGTGCAAGGCGACATCTCATCCAGCCTTCGTGGAGACCCTTGTTGAACAAAACTGTATGTTTCAACCCTCTATGTGTTTATGTGTAATGTTTATTGGAACAACTTAATCTATGCTTGTGTTAAGGGATGTGCATTTTCAGATATTGGATCAATATCTGTTTTGAAAATTTTGGAAATCTTGATTTTCGAATCGGATCCTAGAAATTGCCCTAAAAAAAAAAAAAAAAAAAAAAAAAAAAAAAAAAAAGTGGAATACTTGATTCCAAATATCTGAAATAAAAAAATTAAAAAAAAAAAACTGGCTCAAATATTTGTATCAAAGAATTTTGTTTAGTTTCTTAATGTAAAAAAATAAGAAATAGAAAAAAGAAAAAAAAAAGGTGAAAAATTCATGTACATGATTCTGTGATGAAAGGTTTGATCCATTCTTTATTTCTTTGCATGTTCTTAGTCAATTACGATTGTTGGACAAACAATAAATTGTCCTGAAGAGTAGGTTAAAATCATTATCAAGTGGATGTTGAATATTACACAACTAATTTACACAGCCATGCATGTCAACAGATCTTTGATAACATAGGACATCAATATGACTTTTCAAACGACTTTTCAATTGAATCCTATTCAATCTAAGACATTTTGCATCAGTCATTTGTATTCATCTGTGTTCATCACTCAAATCTGTAGTGCTAAGTAAAGAAACACACTTTCAATCTCATGTATCTAATGATTTGATCTCGAATCTTGAGTTAGTAACAATGATCCTTGTAGTTGTTCTTATATTAGCTGTGCATACCTTAGCTCAAAATGAAACACACTTCATTTACAATGGTTTCCAAGGATCCATCAATAAACTTCATGTTGATGGGATCGCGACTGTTCTTCCAAATGGTCTTCTCCAAATGACTAACTACTCGATCCACAAAACTTCCCATGCTTTCTACCCGCATCCTGTCACCTTCAGACCAAATCGTATATCATTTTCCACCACTTTTGTTTTTGCAATGACTCCTCAAGTTCCAAATCATTCCGGCCATGGAATTGTTTTCGTTATCAGTCCAACCACTAACTTCAACGACACACTCCCATCCGCGTACATAGGACTCTTTAATCCTTCCACTGATGGCCTTCTTACTAATCATATAGTTGCAGTAGAATTAGACACTGTCCAAAATGCTGATGTTGATGATATCGATGGCAATCATGTTGGGATTGATATCAATAGCCTCAAATCTGTTGATGCTGCTTCAGCAGCATTCTACTCTGACGAAGAAAGGGTGAACAAAACCCTGCAGCTTAATAGTGGCAAACCAATGCAAGTTTGGATAGAGTACGGCGAGGTAGACATGCTGTTGAATGTAACAGTTTCTCCATTAAGTTATCCAAAGCCTAGCAAGTATTTACTTTCAAAGCACCTCAATCTTTCTAGCATACTCCTTCATTCCATGTATGTCGGTTTCACTTCTGCTACTGGCCTTGTATCAAATTGTCATTACATACAAGGGTGGAGCTGGAATCAAAATGGGAAAGCGCAAGATTTAGACCTTTCCAAACTTCCATCACTACCAAAAATCAAACATCATATTAAAAAAAAACAGCTTATTATATTTGTAGTTCTACTTGCTGTACTTTTGATGTTTTTAGTAATGATTATTGCGGCTGTTTGGTTTCTTTGGAGAAAAAAGTTTGAAGAATTGCTTGAACCTTGGGAAAAGGAATACGCCCCTCACAGATACTCATTCATGGATCTTTATGTAGCAACAAAAGGTTTTAAGAACTCTGAGCTTCTTGGAGTTGGCGGTTTTGGGAAGGTGTACAAGGGTGTGTTACCTTCAATAAATCGCCAAGTTGCTGTAAAACGAGTCTCTCATGATTCTAAACAAGGGATGAAAGAATTTGTTGCAGAGATCTCTAGTTTGAGAAAGCTAAGGCATAGAAACTTGGTACAGCTCCTAGGCTACTGCAGAAGAAAGAGGGAGCTTCTTCTGGTGTATGAGTATATGCCAAACGGGAGCCTAGACAAGTTCCTCTTTGACAAGGATGGTAAATCAAATTTATGTTGGTCCTCGAGATTCAACATCATTAAAGGGGTGGCCTCTGCCCTTTTATACCTTCATGAGGAGTGGGAACAAGTTGTCCTGCACCGAGATGTGAAGGCAAGTAATGTCCTGTTAGATGCTGATATGAACGCGAGGTTGGGTGACTTTGGTCTGGCTAGACTATATGATCACAACAATGATCCTCGAACCACTAATGTGGTAGGAACCATTGGGTACATTGCACCTGAAGTCAGTAGAACACAAAAACCTACCACCAGTTCTGATGTGTTTGCTTTCGGAATGTTTCTACTTGAGGTCGGTTGTGGGAGGAGGCCATCAGGCAAGCAGTCTGATAATGATGCAGAAGACTTTTTCCTCAGTGATTGGGCTTATGATTGTTGGAAAAGGGGGGAAATTCTTATGGTAAGTGATCCTACATTGGAAGGAAATTATCAGGAAAAAGAGATGGAACTAATATTAAAGTTAGGCCTTCTCTGTTTGCATCCTAAGGCAGCAGAAAGGCCTACAATGAGACATGCTGTCATGTTTCTTGATGGAAGTGCAACTTTGCCTGACATACCATCTGAATACGACCCTGAAAGCGGAATTTACTTTGGGGAAGTTTGGGGAAATTCAGGTTCATATCCATCATCATCTGGAACTGCCTCTCTCACGTTCATGTCTAGCTCGAATTCAGTCCTTCAACGTGGCTGTTGAATCATGTATTTCTAGTGTACTAGCTGTTAGAGTACTAGTTCAGATATTTAGTCTACCTTGTTAATGAATTGGCGTTAGTTATTGCAAAAATGTTAGGTTAGTAACTATAACATGCAATGTTAGTTCTTGCAATATTGTTGTGTAACTCTAATATGCAATGTCAGTTTGTTGGATCATGTTTTATTTTGTGCTATTCTTCAGAAATTGAAACCTGCATTCAATAGCCTTCTAAGTAAACCTAACTTGCAATGTAACTATGTGAGTCTTTCTTGTGCTCTGATCTATACCTGAAAACATACAAGATCAGTTGCTCAAGGCCTCAAGGGTCTTTATAGGAAATAAGTTGTTAAAAATACCTAGGCACAATAGAAATTCTAATTATCATGGGTTCACTATTTACAATTTTACAAATCTCATATCAATTTCCTTCCAAAATCATCAACTTCATAAACAACAATTTTTAAAACATACTACTTCGTAAGAGAATTGAAACAACAAGTATTCTTTTAAAAGATTGTTCCTTCTAGCTCATATCGAAAGATGTACCCATATTTCGTTCTTAGGTGTTTTTATTTTATTATCCAATTTACTTTATACTTTGTATGATTTTGGGTAAGCCAACTTTACTTCCTACTAACTCAACATTTTTTTTAGGGGGTCCTACTATCTCAACTTGATTTTCCCTATTTAAAATTTTTAACCTCACTCACCTTTTTAATCCTCTCTCTAACTCTCTATCTTACTTTACGTTTTTTTTTTCCTCAAACCTAGTCACCTTTCTACGGAGTAGAAACAAGAGTCAACAAGAAAACAGAATTGTCATAAAATAAACGTTAGAGTTGAATTCAAAATCTTACAAGATTTCATATAACTTTACACAAAGTACTCGTATGATATCAAAATAATACTCCTAGAAACTCATACTACTTAAAGTGGATTGCTAAACATCGCCCGCAAATCTCCACATAAAGCCCACAAAATTAGAGTGAAATGACACTTTTGCCCTCAAAGTAAAAAACACAATTTCTTCTCTCTATTCTCTACTTCCACTTTCTCTCTCTAAAAAACTTTCCGAGCGATGTCGAGGCGGCCGGCAAGGAAGTGGCGGCACCGGCGGCGGGTGGACGGCGGTTTGCCGGCGAGGAGGTATTTTTTATTAATTTTGTTTTTAAAAAATAAAAAAAAAAGTTTGGAGGCGGTGGCGGCGCCAAGGCCAGACGCCACCACCACGGCGGAGGCGCCTAGGCCAGACGCCGTGACGGTGGCGGCGGCGCCTAGCCCAGACGCCACCACCACGGCACCAGCGTCTGGGCTAGGCGCCGCCGCCACCGTCACGGCGTCTGGCCTAGGCGCCTCGTAATATATTTTTTTTTTTAATTTTTTTTTGTTTTTAAATTTGAAATTTTATTTTCGAAAATAATTTTTTTTTCTTTTTTTTTTAAATTTGTTTTTCTTTTTTTTAATTTTAAATTTTATGTTTCTGATTTTTTTTTTTTTTATTTTGTTTTAAATTTTGTTGTTTTTTTTTTTAAAAAATTTTATGTTCCTCTTTTTTTTTTTTAATTTTTAATTTTATGTTCTTTAAAAAAAAGTTTAAAAAAAAAAAAAAGAGAATTAAATTAAAAAAAAAAAATATTTTTTTAAAGCCACCCCTAGTGGCGCCTGGCCAGGACGCCGGAGCCACGGTGGGGGCGCCTGGCCAGGACGCCGCCGCCATGGTGACGGCGTCCTGGCCAGGCGCCTCGGCCGTGGCTCCGGCGTCCTGGCCACGCGCCACTCCCATGGGTGAGGCTTCCCCACCAGGCGCCTATGCCACGGTGGCGGCGTCCTGGCTAGGCGCCACAACCACGGCATGGCCTTCTCGGCTAGGCGCCAGCCACCATTTCGTCCTTACGATACGTTACGAACTTCGTTTTCCGGCGACGATGGCGACTCTCCGGTGCATATCGCCGCCGACGACGTCTCTTCGGTGATCCACATTTTTTTAGTGCGAAAAATTTGTTTTCGGTTAAAATTATAAAAAGGGCAAATTTGTCAAAAAATTATAAAATGCGGGCTTTATGTAGTAATTTGTGGGCGATGTTTAACAAATCCCTATTTAAAACGTGTCAAATAAAAAGAAATCCAAAGTATACAACCTTTGAACGCACAATTACAAAATCACCCTTAAATCTCAAAATTAGTTTACCTTCTTCTTCCCTTCTTCACAGTTCACCCTACCAAGTGAAGCCACCCTCTGTTTTGCATCCACCACCATAACTGCCGCCGCCCCACCAACCGCTGCCGATAATAATCGCCGCCTTCAAACCCACCTCTTTCCTTTGTTCCGTCACATTTTTAGCTAGGGTTTATGAATTTAAGGGGAATGAATTCAAATCTAAATCCTTAATAAACCCTAATAAGTTTTTCAATAATTTGGATTTTTGCGAGTAATGCCCATCATTGGTTTCGCCTTAAAGAAGCTCAATTCCAGATTATTTTCGATTCCAAGTAAGTTGGTATTTTACCCTTTGCGTTCTTCTTGTTTTATTTCTGATATTCCAGCTCAAAATGTATCAGAATTTGAAGATGAAATTGATAGTGATAATGATAGTGATGTTGAACCTGTTATTATCAAAGAAATATTTGATTCAGCCCCGAAAATGGGTTCTTATCAATTGGGTGATTCCACCTTTTATTTGCTCATTGAAAATTATGCAAATTCAGGTAAATTTAGATTATTGGAGGAAATATTTGATAGAATGAAACGCGAACGTCGGGTTTTTAGGGAAAGGGATTTTATTGTAGTGTTTAAGGCTTATGGGAAATCAAATTTGCCTGAAAAAGCCATGGAATTGTTTGAAAGAATGGTGAATGAATTCGATTGTAAGCCGACGATCCGATCATTTAACTCTGTTCTAACTGTTGTTATTGGAGTAGGTTTGTATGAAAAGGCCTTGAACTTTCATGATAGTGTTGTTGGAAGTATGAATGTTGTACCAAATGTGTTAACTTATAATTTGGTTATTAAAGCTTTGTGCAAGATGAGAAAGGTTGATAAGGCTGTAGAATTATTTAGAGAAATGCCTACTCAACAATGTGTTCCTGATGCTTTTACTTATAACACATTGATGGATGGGTTGTGCAAGACGGATAGAATTGATGAAGCAGTTTCGCTGTTGGATGAGATGCAGGTAGAGGGTTGTTATCCCATTCCAATGACATATAATGTACTGATCAATGGACTTTGCAAGAAGGGTAACATGCTCCGAGCAGCTAAACTTGTTGAGAACATGCTCTTGAAAGGTTGCAATCCTAATGTAGTGACTTACAACACCCTTATTCATGGGCTTTGTTCGGTAGGAAAATTGGATAAAGCAATGAGTCTCTTAAATCACATGGTATCAAACAAGTGTCTGCCTAGTGATATCACTTATGGAACTCTTGTTAATGGTCTTGTTAAGCAAGGAAGAGCTGTTGATGGAACTGAATTATTGCTTTCTATGGAAGAGAGGGGATTTCGAGCTAATGTGTATGTTTATTCCTCTCTTCTCAGTGGGTTGTTTAAGGAAGGAAAGCCAGAAGAGGCAATGAGACTTTGGAAGGATGTGATAGGGAAAGGAATTAGTCCAAATATTGTCCTTTATAGTGTCTTGATTGATGGTTTGTGCCGTGTTGGAAGACCTAATGATGCTAAAGAAGTATTATCTGAGATGATCCATAAGGGCCTTAAACCTAATCCTTATACATATAGCTCCTTGATCAAAGGGTTTTTTAAGATAGGTAACAGCCGAGAGGCACTACTTGTCTGGAAAGAAATGGAAGATAATGATTGTTTTTATAATGTGGTTTGTTATAGTGTGCTTATCAATGGTTTGTGTGAGGAAGGGAAACTTACAGAGGCTATGGCATTTTGGAGACATATGTTGGGTAGAGGGTTGAAGCCCGACACCGTTGCTTATAGTTCATTGATTCATGGCTTCTGCAAGGCTGGCTTGGTTGATCAGGGGTTGAAGGTTTTTAATGAGATGCTTTTTCAAGGCATAGATTGTCGGCCAGATGTAGTAACTTACAATATACTGTTTAATGGTTTGTGCAACAGCAATCAAATATATATGGCCATTGATCTTCTGAATAGTATGTTGGATCAAGGATGTGATCCCGATCTATACACCTGTGACATTTTTTTGAGGGCTTTGAGAGAGAAGATGTACCCACCACAAGATGGGAAAGAGTTCCTTGATGTGCTTGTTTTACGATTATGCCAACGACAGAGAGGTTTAGCTGCTTCCAATATACTGCAATTGATGTTGCAGAAATATTTGTCACCAGAAGCTTCTACCTGGAAAGGAGTTCTAATGTTCTGTTGCAAATATAAGAAGACAATAGCAACTTTGGACAAGTGTAGGATTAACTTATTCCACTGACTGCAATGGTGAGACTTAGATTTGATTTCTACTATAATTACTTTTGTTTCAGGGGCTTCTTTGATTCTACATTTTGCTCTAGATATCTATGCTTTTGCTTGGATTCAAAAAAAAAAAAAAAAAAAAAAAAAAAAAGGTCAATTCTTATTCAAATTATACGTCACCTTCTTTAAGGGCACAAAAACATCTATGCTCTATGTCCTTAGCAAAATAATTTTTTGCTTTAGAAATGCTCATGCTGGTGTTGGCCTAACATGAAGGCATTCCCATTGATTCATTGTCTATTAGTCCCGTGGAGGCTGTGAGATTTCTGAATGTAGACAATTCTATCTCCATGTGACTAGTTGCAACTTACTTTCCTTTAAAGAAGCTGCTAAATATGCTGCATCATGCTTTTCATTAGTTTCTCAGGTTATGGATTATTGTGAACTCTAGTTCAGAGAATATGATTTAGTGTGCTTAGTAGTATCTTTGTCACTTGCAAGCCATCATTTGTAGGCTTCAGTCAGGACATGTGTTGTTTTGGACTTACATCTGCCATGAAAAGACTTTGTAAATATCTGTATTGATCACATTATTAAAGTGAGTTTACCTTGGTATTTAGTGTTTCTGAAGCAATTTTGCAGTTATCAAAGCATTATTGTTTAAAACATCTTTTCCTTGGGATTGTTGGGTTAGTTTTCTGGTGGTCTGGTGGAAGTCTATTCCTATAGGATTAGCTTCTTCTCAGCATTTGGGGACAGGATGATGTGAAGTTTGGTTTAGGGGCGAGTTTAGAGGTCACAGGGTTGCTGTCAATTAGATTTTGGGAATATGGTGGGGATAAGTATAAGTTGTGGCTCATCACTTTTGTGATAAGTAGAGGTGTTTGAGAAGTGCGGCAGTTCATTTTTTTCAAACACCTTTTGATGAACAGGGCTTTCCCACCATACAAACACAATCTGATTGTTTTGATAATTAGGATTTAGATCATAGATGAGTTAGCTTGGATGTTGTTCTTTTGCCTATTGTTTGTTAATCTTCTCTTTTTTATTTTTTTTAATTAGCTAATCAAAGTGCTTTCCGAACTTTTTAAAATTTGATCCTATTGCCTTCTTGTGGGCTGATGAATGTAACTTTTTTGGACAACATGCTCATGACACGCCAAGTTTCTCTCTAACATGTAAATTCAGAAGAAGCCTCTCCAATTTCTAATACAAAAAGGTCTGTGCTGTACGATTCTGATCTTGCTTTGATGCTGTGTTTTGTAGGTTCTCGTAGCTGATCAATTAATTACAATGTCCTCAGCTGGATTTTGGACAGATTATTTGAATCAGTTCAGGGGAAATCTGGACACTATCATGAACATGTTGCTTCAGGTTCATCTGGAAATACAGATTATTAGTGGCTGCTCATTAGACGGTTACCGCATCGCTGATGTAATCATATGATTGAGATATTTAACCTCAATGATCATTGATCTAGAGGTATTATATGGATTCTTTCCCCTTCTTAATCGAGTATAAGATCCTGAATTTACTTGATCTACTGGAGGCTTCCATCAATTTCTGATATTGACCATTTTTCTGGCGATAAATTATGCTGCCAGCAGCTGCTCAATGTTATTTCTCATGCCAACTGTATTTATGTACTCACTCACTTAATAGATCAATTACACTGGTTTTTTGCAATTCTTGCTTATACCAAACAGAGTATACTTATCCCAAGTCCCGTGATTCCATGAATATTGTATTATTGACCACCTTTACCTATTGGTTCTTTCTTTCCAGTTTCATTGGAAGGCTTGAGGTGCTCTCATTTCTCAGGCTGATTTTCAACCATTGGTGAGTGTCTGTGTACTTTTATAGTTTTATTATACACAACTATGCAATCATTCTAGGGATTCTGCAGAAATAACAATGACAAGAAATTTCCTGCTGAATGATTGGTGTCAGATCTTGAGTATTATTCTGTCAATAGAGCCTTAGGGTTACTATAGAAAACATACTGTATATTGTATTTTAAATGATGAAATTGGCAAACCCTGAACTTTCAGTCTGCGCTATATTTCATTTCTGGTGATAACTTGCAAGTTGCAACTATTGCTGTTATTCTATATAGATTTCAAGATGCAGATTATTCTGACCTTAGAATCTGCAAATTATTGCATATGGACTGAGGAGTGAGGACATGTGAAGGTCTGAAAACTTAAGATGATAGAGAATCTTGTTGCAGAAAGACTTGTTCTTTATTGCTTTTATATATATGATACTTGATGTTTATTTTTTTTTCCATGTTAATACAGAAATCTGGCCTTCCACCTAGTTGGAACAGCCTGTGTTACTGTTGATGCGTGTTTATCCCTGCTTCACAGGTAAGGTTGTGCTAAATATTTCTGATTTCTAAAGGCTGATGAATGGTTTAACTTTTATAAATTCCATGGTATGGTATGTGTATACTTAGCAATTGTGTATTTTGCTATTATAATCGAACTCTTGGTTCTATTTTTCTTTTGACTAATCATCAACAAATCCTTCAAATTATTCCCTGTTTATACCCATGACTTCAAGAAAAATGTTTAATAAAACTGCAATGCATTGATAAACCAGAGCTTACTTCTGTTGCTATGTGCACCAGAAACATGATGTATATTTTGTCCTCTATATTCAGTCGGTATTTTCATTTATTCCCTTGTCGTAACATGGAAGAAAATACACACCTAGAATATTTCTGAGCCCCAATTTTCACCTGTTATTCTTGTAATTAAAAGATTTCTTTGGCACAACAGGGGAAACAATGCATAGATTTTTTCTTGCTTTCTCTTCCTATTTTTTCTTTGGAATGTTGAAGTGTGGATCTTGACTTTTTGTTCTACAGGTGGCAGATAATTCTAAACTGGACTGTTAGTTCTTCAGTGGCCTGTACATGGTCACCGCAGAGCTGCTCTGCTCAAAACAACTCCGTAGAAACATAAGTTGTGAATAGTTTCTGTTCAACAAGGTCTGGCTGCATATGATCAACATTACAGCCTTAAGAACATGTCATAAAGAAATGCGGTTTTAGATTGTGAATATTACAGATTCTTAACAAATAGAGTTCACCCTTCTGATGAACATGGTTGGTGTAAAGCTGAATATCACGGATACAACCAGGCATGGAAGCTTAAATTGTGAAGATTACAGATTCTTAATTAAATATATATATATGCATGGAAGCTGAATTTCATGGATACAACCGGGCATCACTTTTATCAGCAAATGAACATGGTTAGTGTAAAGCTGTAAACATTGAAGCCTTCATAAATCAGCGTAACTTATGTTGAAGTTGCAATAAAGACAATATCTGGATCAGAAAAAGGGTTTTTTTTTTTTTTTTTTTGGTGTAGTATTTATTCTCATGAGTTACTTTTGTGATGCGTTTGTAAATTCATGTTATACATTTCGTAAAGTTTTTTTTTTTTTTTTTTTTTTTTTGTTTTTTAGAAGATCATTAGAAGAAAATCGCGAACATGAATAGCCCTCAATTTGGGAGACTATCTTGTATGTTATCAAAGGCTTGTCAACGGCAACATTTATAGCAAGTTTAGGTTTTTTTCAAGTTAATGTTATTCCTGCTTAAGTTTTTGCTGCTTTGTGGCTCTTTTTTTTTTTTTTTTTTTTTTTTTTTTTTTTTGGGTTAATTATACAAAGTATGTTGTTAATGACCAGACATAATTAATCAGAAGACATTATTAATCAAAAGAACATTTGTAATGCACTTAAAGCCAGAGAAGATAGGTTTAGTGAAGAGACTACTAAAAAAGTAAAAAGGCAACTCCACCGTTAGATACCGGTGTTTTATCCCTATACGTACAAAAGAAAATAGATAGATCACCAAACAAACAAGTGATTTGGACAATGCGGATTACAAATTTCTCTCTCTTTCCCATGTACGATATACCCCTAAATAAACATGTCGGTAAGGTATTATGTACAAGATTTTAAATCAAGGAACCTAATTACGAAATAAAATACTCCGTAGAAAAAGATAGAATAAAACATAGTATACGAAGTATATGATTAAAAACATTTTATAAAAAATACCAGTTGCTTGCTGATGACCACTGAGGGTTGGGTACATAACTAAGCAAAGAAGTACATACATAGACTAATATAGATTATCTATCTAAAATTCAAATATATATAATTCGCTATATATTATTATACATCCAATTTTCTTTGGATCCTAATACAAGCAATCAGAACCAACCAATAACTAGTATAGAATATAACCAATTACAAAAAAATAATAATAAAATTTCATTATTTATCCAAGTTTATTTGGATAATGAAACAAGAAAAGAAGAATTGACTTAATTTGAAAGATGGGCGAAATGTATAAAAATAAAAACAAGTTGCTAATTATCTTTAATGGGTAAATTAATGCTTCCTTATAGTAGGACAACCAAATGATTGGTACATAATTTTATAAAATATAATTGTGGTATCCCTAGTTTTAGTTCCACATGTGGTGGGAACCCTAGCTAATTAAGTTGCTACCAGACAAAATCATAAACCTTATCATTCATTCATCATCTCTTTAAAGAGTCACAAGTTATACATACGTAGCATGCAACCTAACCTAACAATGGCAGATTTATACTATATCTTACCTCCAATTTCTAATAAGTTGAATTTGGTACGTACCAAATAATAATTGGTTTTTCAGTGGTGACACATAAATGAAAAGAGGAATAGAAAAAACGCGTTGCTAGTGATCAAGACAGGAAACTAAATGTCCGACTCAACTATTTTGTACAAAAGAATTTCCATGATTTTAGCTCAAAATAGGTGTTGAAGTGCTTATAACTATGTTAGAGTGTCGAGAATTCAACCCAACTATTTTAAAATTTGAGTAAATTTGTATCATGTATATGGTGAATAATTTATAAGAGGGGATGAATGCGAGCTAGTTTAGTTGATAAATTTCTTATACGTAGTAAGCAGTTTCTTAGCATTTTTGTTATACAGATTACACCAAATTAAGTTCTCTAAGTTCTTTAATTTCTTAACTATATTGCAAGAGGGTATATGGTGCAAATGGAGGGGAAAAAAAGGAAGAAGATGTTTTTGCTTTTGTCTTAGTTTGATTTAAATCAATTTCGAGCTATTCAATCTGGAGCTTATTTTCTTCAACATATTTAAAAATCAAACCAAATTAGCGGATAAAAATAAACCTTTTACACTAATTTACTCATAACAAAGCATCTTAAATTACCTATAATATGTATATCATGAAAAATACATATTTTTAATGTAAACATTTTTGAGACAAATTGAATATAACTATATTTCACTAACTCGATCACTTGATAATAGTTTTTATATTATTTTTTTATTTTTTTATGTCTTGTAAAAAAGAAAATGATAGCCCTAAGGGCTATGTATAAGGAGCTAAAAGGAAATATTAAGAATAAATTTACATTAATCACAGCGATTTACGCGTGATTTTATCTTGAATTCTCAACTTAATTATATTTTAGGAAGTATATTTAATGCTTATACACAGCCCTAAGTGCTATATATATCATTCACCTTGTAAAAATACAGCAAATTTTAGTCAAACCTATGCATTGAAGCAAAATTAATCAAATTAGACTAATCTAATAAAATGATAGTAGAACATCTTAATTATTTTAGGTGAGAACAACTTCAAAAAAAAAAAATTAATTTTTTAAATGGTTAAAACGATGAGATTAATTAAAGACACAAAACAGCATCACATTTGATTAGATAAGTTTTGGGTGGTTTAATGGCCTAGCAGGCAAATCGGTGTATATCACATGCATGCATTTAAAGTGAGTTACTTTCAATTCGTGGTCTATTAAACAAGACTTCCGGAAAATTAAATGGATCCACCAAGTAGCTAGTTTACTTCTCAAAACCCTTAATAACTTTAAAAGCTTTATGTCTCCAAATCAATAAAACAAGTTATTATAGATGAACCACCTACTGATGAATACTGATTCTCATCTCTAATTAGATTTATACTTATATAGTTGATTCCTATGAAAATCTATCTAGAGTACTTCCTCCAATAATAAGGACATATTATAATAAGGACATGTTCACGTTTACTAAAGTGAGATGAACTAAACTGATTGGAGTTGAACGGAACTGAAATGAATATTTTATGAGAGAAGGAAATTAGGAGCTGAACTGAACTGAAATTAAGATGAAGTGAACAGACCCTAGTAGAATTTGCCACGACATAATTCGATCAACTCTTTTTTTTTTTTTTAATAAAAAACATATATTTGTATTGAGTTAGTAGGTAGGTAATTTTATCCTTTATCTATCATGTGGGGTACGAATAATGTTTACTACATATATAAAATGACATTTTTATGGACCATCAAAAAATGAAGCAAATTCAAATGGACAAACCAAACAAAAATTAGGGTAATATTTAGGGACGGAAGGAATAACATTTTTATTATACAAAGTACTATATATGTTGTTTGTGTTCTGGTTTAAAGATACATGATGATCGTTCAAAACCCTATTAATATGAGTATTTACCCATTGGACATAATAATGTTTAATTTCTTTGACCTCATAAGTGAAATTGAAGAAATCAGCAAACTACTCGTTATAATCACACCCTCCTCGATCTTTTTCTGTTTTTGTGTTTGCTTTAATTTTTGCTGGAATGTAATATTACACGTTTAAAAGTATTTTTCCTTTTTTTCCAAAAGAAATAATAAAGTAAGTAAAATTGTAAATATTTGCCTTATTACTCCATATATGTTACACTTAGTTAATTCATGCAAAAATTCAAAATATTTATTACAATGTTTAATATTAATAATAATACCTTAGTATATCTTACAATTGACTACAACATTTAACCTAATTTTACATGTAATACTTAATTAATTACCTAGATCTAGAATATGCAATAGCTCAATCCCCCCTACAATTCTTACATTACGTGAGTCATGAACAAAATCCCCATCTTATACATCTTCTGAATCGATCTATTTATCTTTGTCACAAATAATAATCTTAATAATATGCATATACATCTATAATTCCATCAAGGGGGAGCTCCATAAAATATTAACAAACTAGAGTTGATCTTCAAATGTTGATTAATTTGCACTGAGGTAATTAAGCAACATAGAAGTAGGGATCAAGCATAGTCCCTTCTTTCGTAGTTCCGATTCTAGGGAACCCGTGTTCGTGCTATCTCCGGCTTGCCGTGAATTATTATGTCCGTTTTCTTGCATCTGAATCAATGCACAACAACTTGTTTAGAATTTTGTTTCACATCCAAAAAAAAAAAAAAAAAGCAAAAAAAGTCAAGTTCTTTGATTTATTTTCTTATTTACCTGGCATATATCTCTACTTTCTATCTCATCTTTTGACTTCATGTAGAAGAGATTCAAATAGTTGACCTATTACAAATCAAGAACAAGGGTTAGAAAATTAAACATACATGTAATAATACGTGTAATAATATATGAAATTTATATATATGTAACGATTATTATTATGAAAATACCTAGCTAAGCTAGCTAAAATAATAATTTGTTTAATTTATATAAATGTATACATTACCTTTGGACTTTGAACGGGTGAACTAGCAGTATCTTCCAATTCATGATCAACAAAAGTTGCTTGTTCCATGGTTTTTCTCTTCTTAGACATCAAATTTTCGCGGTTCTCTTGCAAGAGGAAATTAGATGCTGCACCGGAATAATTTGAGGAGGTTTCGAAAGAGGAAAAGAGAGAACTATCTTCGATGTCATCATAATCTTCGTCGTTAATAAAATCTTCAAGGTCTAATTTGATCCAATCACTCGCCTCAAATTTAGATGAGGACATACATCGTGTCTTGTGATTTGTTGTGCTCATCATAGAGTAAGCCATTTTTATCAATATTCTCAATCTATATGTAATTATATCGGGTATGAATTAGGAAACTTGTGTTTAGGGCCGGTATATAATTAGAAATCTTATTTTTTTCTTGGTGTTTGAGAAAAAAAGGAGGGCTTGCTTGACTAATTTGGAGCAGTTGAAAGGAGGGTATATGAGCTTATATAGGAGGAATAATGCAAGTTGAAAGGGTAAAAAGAGATTAGAATGAAAAAAAGTGGGCCCTAAGAATAAGAAAGTTCTTCTAAATTTATAAGGTGATGCAAAGGAAAGGGATAGGAATTTGGTCAGTAGTTTCAGAATATATTATGTCCCAACTTAAATTGGTCATAATTCTTTTGGGTCCCCCACTTTATTTGACTTGGAATTTGGATGCATTAAAGCATTGCATACATAAATTGCTTAATTATGTTATATAAGTCGGAGTATTTATACTCCATCCGTTTCGTATTAGTTGTAATAGTAGGCTTGATTTATAATTACTAATTAGTATAGGTGTCAAAATAATATCTTGTTGAGATTTTGAATATGATGAGGTGATTTTGGCCAATATCAATCACAATATAAAACATTACATTGTTGATGGGGTGTAACATATTTTACTTTTAGCAAATATGATCAAGTTTAAATTAATGTGATAGTTATATCAATATAAGGAATTGACTTGGTACATTAGTGTTGGATGGATCATTAATAATTCATTATATATATAAATTATGCATGATTATTGCAAAATTGAAGGGAAGATATATTGAATTTTATACAGTTTTTTAATTCATTAGTAAACTTAGAAATATGGAGAGTCAAATTCATACATGATCATGAAAAAACAACATGATAAGCTGGCATACACTATATATCAAATATGTGAAGAAGAAGTCTTCTTATTATTACCCTTCATTCCTCTATCCCTAAAGAAGCATGATTATTGAAATTCAATGGTACGTATCATTAACATACACAATTAACCATTGTTGCTCTCTATACAACAAAAAATTAAAATTTATAACATGCATGCATAATATGATATGATGATATGATATGGTACAATTACATATAAATTACAAATAAAGTCATGCATGTGAAATCGGATATTATTATGTACACCATGGTGTAAGAAGCGCCGAAGGTTAATTTTTTTGTACATTTTGATAATTTGAGCAAATAAAATAACCTTGCATTGATCCGGGTGTATATAATAATTTTCATGTGAAAAATTAGCCATCATTTGTTATTACACATCAAGTTAAAGATAGATATTTAGCTAATTTATCATATATATAATAAGGTGATGATTTAGACTTCTATTATATGTCAACTTATTTGAGTAGACAAAGAACGGTATTTGCTTACATTGTATTGCATCAGATGATGCAAAAACCATATTAACAGGAATTAATAGGAAAATTATCAATTAATTTAGATTAAATTAAAGGAGACATACATTTTGGTCATCATTGTCAAATTTATCAACTTAGTTGTGAGTCACTAGTTTTGAGAAAAAGAGAAAAATATGATAAAAGTAATGATCCAATGATATGAAGTTAGCAGATAATGTATTGACTAAAGCAGGAATCAAAATATAATTAATGGTTGAATTAAATTTACCAAAATAATATTAATATCTTATGAAATAGACATTAATAGATTCTCCTTTCTTCTAATATATGTGTCACAAGATGCTTACCAAAAAAATTAATTTAATGACAATTAATTTGCTATTGGCTGCCACTTGATTCCTATTCAATAATTGAGATTTGTTTGATTTTAATTCTTATAAGATGAGCATTAATTAACATTAAAAACATCTAATTAAAAAATGATTAGTATGGCCTACATTAAAGATTGCAGTGTCAAAATCAAAATCTACTTTCTAGTGTCAAGGAATTAGAATTAGCTATTCTCTGACAGTGAAATATTTTTAGTTAATGACATAATTTATATACATGGCGTTTAATTATATGATTAATTATGTGTTTTAGAAGATTGTCACTTATCTTCAAAAATCTTGAAATGATGTCATTTTGGTGTTTTTCTTTATCAAAAGGATCTTTATACGTCATGTTCTACGTATAATTGAACTAGTAGGCTAAAAAAACACACACATTGAATAACCAGCAGTAATTTTGACTCATTAGGGTTTTAAACTGTCAAAAGCGTTATATTTCCTTTTTTTATTTGACTTGTTTTATTTAATTACCACGCTTTGTTATTGCAAAATTTTAACCATCAACAACTCTGATTCTTCGTAAGTACAAAAGTACAAGTTATACATTATGATAATACTTAATGAGAGACGATTCTAACAAGATTTCACATGAAAATGATTTTCCTTAAATATGACGTACTGACAAAAGACTTTGGTGAATAGTTTAAAAATCAAAATCGGGTTGTAGTCAAATTAAAAAAATAAAATAAAGGAAGTATACATTTACATAGTCAACATAGTTAACGAAACTGCTCATCAATAAATTGTTGCAATTTCGACCGATTGTGATTCTCTCTGGTAATTAGACGCCAGTTAAATAGGCTAGGAATGTTCTACTTACCTCTAGTTGATTATCAGTCATTAAAACTTATTTTATCTTATATAAACCCATTAATTAATAATCTGTGGTTTATACACACGGGTGTACAGTGCTCATCATACACCCGTATAAATAAAAAAAAGGCGGCAAGAACATCTTGTGTTTCATAAAGAACATACATGTATTTGACAAAGAACATGGTTGTATTTGACAAAAACATGCATTACCAAAGAACATAAAGATATAATAAAAAGAACGAGATAAAAGCTTGATAAAATTTTCTGAAAAATTACACATTATTAACGGGAAAAATTTAGAAGTGATAAATAATCGAGTAGGGCCGGGCCATATCATAATTTCTCGTGCTCAAACCCGTAGAAAAGTAGCGGGTTTTCGGGCTTTTTTCGAACCCGGATCGAGTTTTAACTAAAAATGCATTTTTAGGTTTGCCCAAACCCACCCTATTTCGGGCCGGATCGGGTCGGGATGTGAGTCATGCCAATGTTGATCACCTCTTAAAAAATCCTTACCAAAGATATCATTTCCCCAAAAAATAGTTTTCTATCTCTCCAAAAAAAAAAAATCAACTTCCCATAATAATTTAGTTTTTTTTACTCTAACATTATTTTCAATTAAAAATAATTTAAGATTTCAATATCAAATTTCAAAATACCAAATGTTAAAAAAACATAATTTATATTGTAAAGTACATATACTTAATACCTAAATAACACACTAATCAAACTCAAAGAATGTGCGATAATAAAAGTAATTTAAATATGACATGATAATAAAAAATAGAATTTGGGCGTCACTACGACCTTAAAGAACATACACGCCAAATTCAAAGAACATACTTTGTATTATTAAACCCAAAAAAAAATATGTTTATCAACATATGTTAAATAACATAAGTTATAATGTAAAGAACATATAATTTTACTCAAAGAACACACTGATCACACTCAAATAACATATTAAAGGTATGTTCTTTGTCAAACATAGGTATGTTCTTTATCAAACACTATATGTTCTTTCCGCCTTTTTTTGTTTACCCGGGTGCACCATGAGCATGGTGCACCCGGGTGTATTATCTAATTTTCATTAATTAAACCTTAACAAAACTGATTTTAATTGAAATTCGAAATTAAACATTCCTTATCAACCAACCCTTATCCAGACTCATTTTTCCCTTACCTGGACTTATTTTAACTGAAATACGAGTAATTAAGTAAAAATAAGGTGAACACAACAGACCCTTAATATAGAATATACAAGTACACCCTCGCTCTCACTCCATAATTAGACAATAAAAGATGAAAATAACAAGCTAAGCTAAGCTAGGGCAGGTAGGAGGTCAAAAATCATGCAGATCCTCTGATAATCTGCAATTTTAAATCCCAGAAATAAGGATGATCATCATCCTCATCCTCTAGGACAAGCTAATGCATAATCGAACGCGTTCGGCGGAATCTTGAAGATCTTCTGTGGACTGTCTTATGCATGATCTGATACTGATAATAAGAGTGATAACAATGTTCATTCTTATCTTAACTACTGTAGGTTATTTGGCAACAGAAATACAGGAAATAAAAAACTTGTCTAAAATACCCATGACATTTGTGACATAATAATAATGTAAAGGATTCATTTCTGTTAGGATTTTATTTATATTGTTCTTTTTATGATTTAGTCATTCATATCACCTTGTTAATCATCTCTTAATCACATTTATTTTTAATCTTGAAGATTTTGTCTAATATTTTTCTCATAAAAAAGATATTGTTCCATTATTATGGTGCAGATCATGTATATGTTGACCTATTAGGGCTAATGTGATCTTCATTCCCTTTCTTTAAAACTGAGTCCATTTTATTTAAATGATCAGATGATAAATTTCCAAACTTAATTAAACCTAATACAAAATTATATTACAAATATATATGGAGTATATTTTTTCTACTGATAGCATTAAATTGAACCTTTTTTTTTTTTTCCTGAATGTATCTCCTGAATTACACTGTCAAGGCATGGAAGGTTGTTGCATACAGATAGAGATCGAATCGCCACGGTGTCAAATAGACAGCTGAAACATTTCCCCCCTTAAACCGCAAATACTAGACAACAAAAACCGTGAGAGTTGATGTCGAGTGAAGATTATTCTCATAAAAAGTAAATAATGCAGCGCTCATTATATGATTTATCCATTATCCAAAACCTGTTATTTAATCGACTTCATCACATACTACATGCCTTTAAAATGACGAGTAAAGGATATTTGCTAACGAGCGCCTCTCAATCGATCTAGGACATTAAATGAGAATTTAAAATATTTCTAAAATGATACTTCCTCCGTCCCTAAATTACATTCCTTTTTGGAAATTTACTACCTCCGCTTCGCATTACTCGTAACAAAGGGGTATTATTTGTGAGATATAAAATATTCGTTTGTTGCGAGTAATGCGAAGCAGAGGTAGTATACGTAGTATTAAAGGATGATAGATTACTTAAATTTGTTTTATGCACCCGAGTGCACTGTACACCCAATTAACCCAAGATTAGTTTTTGTTAGTTTTTTATTTGATAATTAAATGAAAACAAAATACTTATGATTGTACGGTGTACCGGTCGGGTGTATATAACAATCTTTCATGAAGTACATGCACAAATAAAAAGAATTAAGAAAAAAGCACATGCAATTAGAGGTAGCTAGCATGGAAGTAGGTAATATTAAGCACAATCTG